ACGACTTGACACTATAAGGGCGTTGACTGCACTAGCTGCACAGAAAAAATGGAAGATTTACTAGCTAGAAGTCAAATCAGCACTTCTTAATGGCTATCTTAAAGAAGAAATTTATATAGAGCAACCTCAAGGGTACATGGTACGAGGAAAAGAAGATAAAGTTCTCAAACTAAAGAAGGCCCTATACGGATTAAAACAAACTCCACGAGCGTGGTATAGCAGAATAGACAATTACTTCACTGAGCAAGGATTCAAGAGGAGCCAAAGTGAACCAACTCTATACATCAAAAATCAAGGTGCAAGTAGTACACTTATAATCTCTTTATATGTTGATGATCTCAACTATACAGGGCATTAATGATGAGAAGATGATCGAGAAATTCAAGGACGATACGATGAAAACGTTCGAAATGACTAATTTGGGATTAATGCACTATTTTCTTGGGATCGAGATAGCTCAATTTGAAGATAAGATCTTCATTGCTCAGAAGAAATATACCACCAGTCTATTAAAAAAGTTCAAAATGGAAGGTTGCAAAACAGTAGCAACACCTCTGGATAACAACAAGTCACTTAGAAAAGAAGATGGCACTCCAAAAGCAGACGGTTCACAATTTCAAAGCTTAATTGGAAGTTTACTCTATCTCAGAGCTACAAGGCCAGACATGATGTATGCAACTAGCCCACTTTCAAGATTCATGCAAAATCCAAGTCAAGTTCACTATTGAGCCGCGAAGAGGATACTAAGATACATCTAAGGAACAAAAGACTATGGAATAAGTTATGAGTCTACGTCTAACTGAAGACTACTTGGGTATACTGATAGCGATTGGGTAGGATCAGTAGATGATATGAAGAGCACATCAGGCTACGCATTCACATTAGGTTCCGAAATATTCTCTTGGGCATCAAAGAAAAAGGCAGCGGTTGCACAATCATTAGCTGAAGCAGAGTATATTGCAGCAGCAATGGCAACGAGTCAAGCTATATGGTTAAAACGTATATTTGAAGGCACGGGAGAACCACAAAATGAAGCAACAGAGATCAACTGCGATAGCAAGTAAGCAATAGCAATGGACAAGAATATCGTATTCCACAGTAGAACCAAACACATTAGCATCAAGTACCATTTCATCAAAGAAGCCGAAGCAAATAAAGAGATAGAGCTCAAAAATTGCAAGACTGAAGAACAATTAGCAGATATATTTACAAAGGCGCTACCACTAGCAAAATTCGAAATACTACGAGAAATGATTGGGTTACCAAAATATGCATCAAAGAGGAGTATGAATGGTTGATGCATATTTTAGGAATTTTCTAGAAGATCCTGGAATTGTTTGGCGAGGATATCCTAAAATTGCTTGGCAAGCAAGACTAATAAAAATTAGAATTATCTAGAATTTCGTAGAGAAGCTTGGATACCAAGAAAGCTTGTGAGGTTTGTAGACACATGTAGAATTATCTA